TCATGCAGAATTTCCTATGGAATGTTAATCCTTTCCTATTTTTGTAAATCTTGAGGATGAAAGCAGATTTTCTACCCACAGGTTTAGCTATGAATTGTTCATGGTTTAGTTATTAGGAATCCCATAAGAGACATACCTGTTTTCTCTGTGAAAATGCAAGACTATAGCAGGTGCAACTAAACTTAGTTCACAGATACTTATTGAGGTTCTTCTGTGTGCAAGGCACTTTTACTAGACACAGGATATAAAAATTGAATACTTGAAGCATAGAATATATTTTCTTTTTAATATGTCAGAGCAGTATTTCATAGCATTCAAATTTGTACTGACAATATTTTTCATAAATATTCCTAAATATTGGGGGAGGGGCTCTTAAACTAGAAGGCAAAAATATCTTCATATTCAAATCAGATTTTGTCAGCCTCAGATTCAAGAACTCCATTCAGATCCTCTTTCATACTTCATATCTCTTTTGAGCTTTCTTTTTCCTTTTCCTCAGCTAAGCCAGCCTGCTTGCCAATCCCTGCACACTACTAACTCTTGCTTCTGTGCCTCTGCTTGACTAATTCTGCTTTTGGGATGCTTTGCTTCCCGTGAATCCATGTCCATCACTGCTATTACAAACTGGCCCCAAGTCCACCTCTGCAAGGAGCCTGTAGTCAGTGTCCCTGTCTCCTGTGCCCCTCCCACATGTGCATAGCCCATATGACTGGTGAAGAAACATTGTTGTATTCATTATAGTGTCCCATTCTCTGTCCACATCTTGCTGACCTAGGTTCAAACTGATCATAAATGAAACAGTCTAATATAACCAAGTCTTTTAAGAGTGAGTCTCCACATCAGACATTTCATTTTGGTATTTGTGAGCTGCTAGTTATAGAATAGAGAGGAAGATCAGAAAAGTTAGGATGGGAGTCTGAGAAATGAACCTGGGGTCCATGGGGAAAAAGTCATACTTTGGTAAATATCCTCTCCTGCTCCAAAACAGGACAAGAAATCTCCTTTAAACAAATTTCAGATCCAGTGAAGGAAGACTAATGAACTGTCAAGTTTAGGGAAAGCAGGGCTCTGCCTGTTAATCATCTCAAGCTTGTTGATCTGCTGTTCTGTAATTCTCTCAATATTGTTTAATGTGTGTGTGTTTTATCTTCTGAACTGACTAAAAGCTTCTTGAGGACAGGGACCATGTCTTTTATTTGCTTCTGCATATTCTTCCCCCACTTATTCCTAACTACCATGGTAAAACCTTCTTTAAGCACATATGGAACAGGAATGCAACCTGCCATTACACCACACACTTTGTATGTCTAGCCATACAACAGCATAGTGAGGTGAGTATTCCCATCCTAATTCTACAGATAAGGAAATCAAAGTCTAGAAATTTTAAGGTCTTATGATTAATGAGTGATGGATCTAGAATTTGAACCCAGGTCTGACTCCAAACCCTATATGTGCTTTTCACACACCACAGTAATAAATATTTGAGTCCTTTACACTTCACAGCACTCTTTGATCTCCATTATAATTGCAGTTTTTACTGTCATTTCCTACATCATTACTAAGAAATAGATAAAGGTAGTATTACCATGTCCCCCCATTTCACACATGGGAAAACAGACTCAGAGACTTCCCCAAGATCACACAGCTGGTAAGTGAAAGGATCAGGACTTTAGACTTCCTGACTCCAGATCTTTTTGTTCTTTCGTATCACATTGCTGCCTTAATTCATTTGCATGAAAGCATGATTATGTGGCCAGTTTTCACTGATGCCTTTCCTATAGAAATGCCAACACACCCAACCATTGCATGGAACCATGTGGAAGAGAAAAGAATTCATGCCTCTGAGGAGCTTCCATTTTAATGGAGGGTGATATGCAACTCCCCCCCACCCCCACCCCCACCCCCGCCCACACACACACAGAGAATAAAAAACAAATGGTTGAGAGGAATAGGTCATAAATGAGAATTAAAATATGGGGCCCTTTGCTCTGTAAACAAATTCCCATAATTTAAACACAAAGCTACTTAATATTTTTAATTATTTTCAAGATAAAATCAGACTACAGAATAGAGATAAAGACAACAGACTTAATTTGAAAATAGTCTTCCTAGGTTTAGATGAGAAAATGCTAGGTACTTCATACAAGTTGGTACTAGCCCCAACCTTGATCCCTTATCAAGGAGATGCAGTAAGTAGTGTTAGTCCAAGGATTCATTACTATCCTTGGTAGAGCCTCTCTAGTTCCCACCTGCCAGCCTTACTTCTGCTTCTCCCTACTCAGCCCCAATCCCATCATCTCACCCTCAGTTCACAAACACCGTTAGACCTAGAACTTTTTTCTTTTTCTTTTTTTTTGGAGACAGGATCTCATTATGAGCCCAGGCTGGCCTCAAACTCTGCTCTCCCGCCTCTCTCCTGAGTGCTGGAATTTCAGGAATGCACCACCACACCTGGCTTTAGACCTAGAACTTTCTTATCCCTCAGTACTTCATTCCCAGTGGGTTGTCCCCTTCTCGTTTTGCATTTGTTTCTCATATCTAGTGTCCAATGTGATGAAGTCCTTCAGCATAGTCAGTTAGAACTAGGAAAATGTATACTGTAAATTATAGTAGTGTGTATGCATCAGTGCTAGAGAGAAGTTTTAATGGAAATTAGTTGTTTCTAACTCTGCACTGAGCCTTTCTACCTGGTTGTCATCAGGCACCTTAAGCTCTTCATGTCCTGAAAGATAGCAGCATCTCCCCACACAGTCTGTTCCATATCCTGTGTTCTGGCTCCAGTAGATAGTGTCACATCTACTTGTTATCTCACTGGAGCCACAGGGACAGTCTACTGCTTGTCTTCCCCTTCCAGTGGTCATCATATCTACCTTAGATATATTGGGTTTTCTTCCCATAACCTCAGCCATAATTCAGCTCTTTGTCTCCTCCATATACCATTATGATGAACTACTAGTGACTTGTCTCTCTGCCACGTATTCCAATGTGTCTGCCACACCACTGCCAAAGGAAACAAACCTGATTGGATACTCTTTACAGGATAAATTATTAAGTTCCTTACTTCAACATTTGAAAGACTTGACTATTGGAGCCCAAATTACCCTTACCTCCTTCTGCTACTGCTTCCTTGAGTCCCTCCACTTGCTCAAATACTGGGCCCTTTTCCAGCTTCCTAAGAGCACAAAGATAGAAAAGATGAACTGACACAATCAAATAAGGTCCTCAAAGATGATGAGACCATACAGAACTCTTGACTCCTTTGCCAAAAATTTGCTGCGCCCTTTGCCTGACACAGGACACCTTAATATTGATACTTTCCCCACCTCCCCATAGCACTTTGGTCCAGCTTCATTTCAAAAGCCACCACAATGCTTTGTTGATAATTCTTTTAGAGCATTTACCCCATTATGTTCTATATCATATGTTTGTTTTGCCCACTCATCAAGGGCAGCCACTGAACCTAGTCTTTGTTTTCTGCCCAGTATATGACACAGTTCCTGTCACATAATTGAGCAGATATTGAGCAGATGAACTCAGGGTTGCTCCTCCAATGCAGTTAGGGCAGTTAATTCCGATGTGGTATGCTGCAAAGAGCACTGGGACTGTTTCCCACGTCCAGCTCTGCCACTAGAAAAGTGATCTTGGGTAAGTCACTCAGTCTCCCTTATTAAAGAAGGAGGTTGGACTAAATGATCTCTGAGGCCCCTTCCAACTTTAAGCTCTATGATTCTGATCCCATTTCTTGATCAGGAAACATATTTCATACTTCATAACACTCAGGAGTGTCAACTTAGCCAGTCAGCCATTCACATTTCCCAAATAGACTTTTCAGACTCTTGGGAGTCTTCAGATGGTAGCCAGAGTTGCTTGATTAGGCTTCTGTTGGCTTAACCAGTGATTGTTGAGCTATTCTCACTCCTCCCCAGGTTTTGCTTTGCCCTTAACACCATCCCATGGTTATGTGTCTGCTCCTTCCAGGGAAGGAGCCCTTTTTTGTGCTTCCCTAAGAGGCAGCGGCAAAGAGTGGGGGAGAAGTAGTGTTATTGTTTCCTTTCACTTATATCCCAACGTTACAGCTGCTGCCATGTTTTCAGGGAGCAATACCCATTTCTGTGAGAAATAAATTTTAAGCAGCTCATGGGCCTCTCTAGGGCCCCTCTTAAGTGCACTTCTGACCTTTCAGGGGCCGGGGGAGCTAGAGTTAGCAATGCAACAGGTACATTTGCCATAATCTCCATGTAATAAATAAGGGCCTATGAAAAGATTAAATAAATCTTTCCTAATGCTTTTTGATTGGCTTAATCAATAATTAATCATCTTTAGGATGAGGCTGTAACTTGTGGAGTAGATATAATTGGATTAACTGAAAAGAAGCAGTTGGGGAGCTTTGAAGAGATTAAAATGGCTGTCAATCCCATAATTAAACTGCCACAAACAAAAGCAATGGTGTTTTAAACAAGAAGAAGAAAGAAAGCGAGAGAGAGAAAAGTTGGGAAGAAAGTTGGGGAAGGCCAACTGATTTGCAGTGAATCAACAAGTTCTTATGTATCACTAGAGCCTAGAGGCAAAATCCAGTCTGATACTGAATGAAATGCATATGTACTAAATCAGCCATTTATTATTATTGTATGTCTGGAGCAGGTGACATTTTGGCAGCTTCAACTTTATTAAAGCAAAATGAGTCCACAAAAGAGGGAAAAAGTTAATTATTCAAAACAGAAGAGACCTGCTCCTTGCCCTGAGCCCGTTCAGACCTTGACTTTTCATACTTTTAATTGGCTTAGTAGGTTTGGCCTGTGTGAATGAAGTCTTTTATCTCCCTCTTTTTCTTTCTATGCCCCTTTCATCTTTCCTGTTACACACAGAGAGAGCTTGAGAGAAAATACTTTGGTTTTTAAAGACTTCTTTTTAAAAAGGACGTGGATTTGGGTGGGGGGAGGGGTATGTGTGTGATGCTGGTGAATACTTTTTTTTTCTCTCTCTTTTATCTCTTTTTCCAGAGAGGAGTTGCTTAAACCAATGGGACTAAAACCTGATGGGACAATAACGCCTTTGGAGGAAGCACTCAACCAATACTCTGTCATTGAAGAGACCAGCTCTGACACAGACTAAAAAGCATCACCTGCTCAACTTCCAATATTGCTTTTATCAGCATCTTTTCTCTGTAGCTCCAGGGGAATCTTTTCTCTAAAACATTATGCCCTTGCTTTGGCTAGAAACACATTAACTGGTTTACTCATTGAGAATCCAGCATATTTAAGAAGTGATCCTGTGTTTTCTGCGATATTGAGGCATTCATACAGAGCTGCAGATAGGCAGAGTTACAGGGGCTAGAAGCAGAAACAAAGTAATTCCATTTCATCGGGATGGAAAGGACTTCATTCTGTAAAGCAGCCCTGGTCAGATCTGGCAGTTCTGTTGCCAGGATTCTTAGCCGAAGATTTAGCCATGTCCTTCCTCTCACTTGTGAGAGCAGCCCCTTCTGAATCTCTCCAGCAACCAGAGGCATGTGAGAGCATCATGAGCTGATAAACAAGGTCTGCGGCAAGTGTCTCCTTACATCAGGACTGACTGAATAGAAGCTAAGCAGCTGCTCTGTAAACCTACCCCCACTCTTCATTTCAGTTTTATATAAATATGGAAACACACACACACACACACACACACACACACACACAGAGCCCCAGACATACAAATGGATTACACTCTGAAAGTTTGTATGTCACTTAACTGAAACTTCAGAATACATTCCTCCCTATAAAGAGTTATAAATGATGGTTTAGTTCCAGGCAGCTACACATGCCTATTTATTCCCTAATGTTCCTGAACACTAGTACCATAGAACTGGACCACCATCTGTACTGTTGCACCAGGAGTGTGCGTTCTGAGGCTGAACTTGGGGTGCAGAGAACATGTACATCCTCCAGCCCAGCAGAAGGGATGGGGGCTCCCTGAGTGATGGGAGTTCTTCTGTGGCCTCTGTTGGGGGTAAGGGTCAGCAGCACCCATTTGTACATAAAGGTCATTCATATGTCATGTTTTAAATAGGGGTCAGTGTGTGTGCTTGTGTGTGTGTGTTCTGCCTTTTTACCATGTGATCAGTTTAATGGTAACTTTATTTATTTAAAAAAAGAAAAGAAACACAAATAGTTACTATTAAACTGATTGAGGCTGTTTATTTTTATTGTTAGAATTGGTCATGAAGAATTAGAAACACAATCATGCAGTAGACAGTGGGCCTAGTTGATCAGTGACTAAAGTTGAAAGGGGTTTGGTTTCCTTTTATATATATGTATGTGTGGATACACATACATACATATATATACACACACATAGATAATGTGCTTAACCACTGCCTTTTAAAACTTTAAATTAAATAAAACATTGGGGTTGATTCAATTTGGCCATCCGTGTGTGTTTTTTTAATAGATATATGGGCTAACAGTACTTTTTCACAGTTTATGCTTTTTAAAAGTGCTTTTCCACCCATTATCTCACTTGTCATCATAATAGCCTTTTTAAGATCAGGAAAGTATTTAAAGTATTAGTGAAAATAACATTTATCCAGAAGTTACTTCTGTGACAGAGCAACAAGTCAGGAATTGAATCTTAAATGGCCTTCCAGCTGCCAGAGAGATGTCACAAAGTTTCTTGCAGGGTACTAGTAGGAGATATTTTTAAGGGTGTCACTCTTAACCCCTTTACTAAAAATCTGCATACAGTTGTAACATGTTTAGTTATTTGGCTCTTAAGGACTACTCCCATACCCCCAAAAAAATGGCAAAGAAAGAAGCTACTAGACTGAAGATAGGCAGCCAAAAAAAAAAAAGCCAACTAGAAGCTAAGTAAGAATGAAAACTTATTCAAGGTGTAGCAAATCTGGAATTCTCTCCATATCAAAGGATGCTCTAGTTAACCCAGAAAATGCATGTGTGATAGCACGGCCATAGGCTAATCTCTTACGGTAACACTGGACTTCTTTAAGAGAAGGAACTAAATCCAAAATGCTTCATAAAAACTGGAAAGAATAAACTCATTTTAGGATTTTCATTCAATATTGTTGCAGGAGAGCTTGTGGTGATTGTTTTAACCAAAAGCAAATAAAATGAAACTTGGCGATTCATAATTTTAAATTAAGTGAAAAAAGTTTAGAAAACTTAATATTTTTCTTATTTTATTCTACAAATGCATTTTTAAACTATTTTTATAATTTATACAATCAGCTTTGGCGTGAGTGTCAGCTTATGTAAATGAAGACATATCTCATGAATGCCTCTTGCTGGCTCACTACAGAATAAGTGTTTGAATAGTCCTGTTTAAGTAGCTGTGCTCCTCTGCTTTCAGTGAGTTGTTTCATTTTGCATTTCTCTGCGCTGAGCACTAAATCTTGTTTTTAAAGAGGAAGATTTTGCAGGGGGAGAAAATGGAAGTGACCTTGCCTTGCACACAGAGAAAGAACATCTGTTGTGTGCTCACTACAAGCTGGGCTTTTTGTATGTCCTTAATTTTGCCTTTCTATAGCTCATAGCAGAAAGCTTGTCTAGAGAGCTTACCGAAGATCCCTGGCCTTGCAGCAGGCAAGAGACCAACTTTGGTGGCCTGACTCTCAGCAGCACCCTTTCCCCTTCCTACTGCACATACAGAACACACTGGGCTTGGGCATATCTGGACCACAAAGCCATGGGCTTTGAACTGTGGGGATCAGCCTAGGGTGAGGAGGCCTGATTGTTCTCAGGCCATTTTAAGCAATAACTCTCCAGTAGAAACAGTTTAAAGAACTTTTCTAACAGGGAGGTGACCTGGAGTAGATGGGGAGTAGGAAACATGGTCAGTTAACACCAAATTTCAGATGTAGGCCTGGAATTCTTTAGGATAGGTCAGAGGCCAACAGCGTAGGCTGCCTCTCCTGGGATTGGAGGGATTAGAATTCCTTGGCCATACACTTGACAGGCCTCTTTGCCCACACTCTTGACCTTGGAAGTAGGGGGTGGAAGAGCAAGTCCTTAAGTATGGCATTTGAGCTGCTGCTGTAGAGGAACAATTGCCAGGCATTTGTGACCCTTTCCCATGCCCAGTGGTCCTGGGTAGCAGGCAGGGCAGCTGTATTATCCCTCTTAATAAATGAGGACCAGGCTGCAGCCAAACAAGCGGTCTACAAACACCTTATCACATCAGTCTTGCCGTCTCCCAGGACTAGGTGTCACTTTATTTTCTTTTTTCCCTGATACGTTCAATGTGGAAAGTTTGAAAGATGCAGAAAATAATAATTCACCCCAAATCCCACCACCCTGACATCGTTGTTAATGTTTTAGTGTATTTCCTTCCTGTATTTTTTCTATGCATATATAATTTATTTTATTACAAGATTGGGATCATGCTGTATTTACAGATTTGTATCCTGCTTTCTTCTTTAACATACTGTGAGCATTTTCCCATGTCAATAAATAATTCTTCAAAAATTAATGGCTATATGATATTCTATTATCTGAATTGTGGCAAACACTGCTGATTGCCCACCCAGAATTCTTCCTAACAGAAAACATAATAACCTGTAGCCCCCACCCCTACCCACTGAATAGATGTTGCCTCCTGCCCTGGAGCTCAGCACGGACCTCATCAGCACTGCAGAGCCACCAGAACTAGGAACGGCCCAAGAGAGGCAGACTTGCTCTGCCGTACAGCACGGTCTTGCAGAAGCTGTAACAGCACAAGTCAAGACAGTGAGATTAAGTGCCCAGATGATTCTCAAAGGTGAGCCGCTTAAAGGTAGCAGGGAAGCCAGAGGATTTATAAATGTCTACACATAAAAAGCAAAAAGGAGATACTGTATTTCCAGAGGTGGAGAATGCTCAGGACGGGGGGACATGTCACTACCGGAAAAACAAGGTGACACCTGTCAGAGCTACTGGGCATATGATGAGCACAATATGGAGAAAGAACAAGTGAGCACTGTTGAAGGAACAAGTCATCAGGGAGGGAAGGAGGGAGAAAAGATCTGACAGAATTTACACAAGGTGTAACTGATGCATGGAGCTGGTCCTGCACCAGGTCTTCCAGCAATACCAGAGCAGCCCTCCTTACAGGGAAAAGGGTGGAAGACAAGACTGCACACCCTAGTCATGCACTGTGGGTAGTGAACGCAGTGTTCAGTAGTGTCCTCTGGAGAGCTGAGAAAATAGTCACTCCAGTCATTTTTGTGTAAGTTCTGTGGTTCAGACGGACCTTGGTTAAAAATGTCTACCCTGAGAAAAGACTGAAATTATACTCCAAGACTTTGGAATCGGCTGTGTTTTAATGTAACAGTGAATGTCCAAAGACAAGGCTCCCATCTGTATCCAGGCCTCCTGGACCTTTCTGCATTGAACATAGAGACAACTGAAAATAACTTTGAGCATTGAACATAGAGACAACTGAAAATAACTTTGAGCATTCACGGTGCTAAGCACTTTTTCCAATTTAATCTTTATAGCAGTCATAAAGTAGGCCCTAGTATAGAAGCTCCACTTTTCAAATGAGAAAACTAGAACACAGCCTTTATTTGCTTTTAATTTGCTATTCATAGAAGAATTTGAACTCAAGTCTGTCTGATTTCAGAGTCCACATAAATACCATGCTACCTATGTATTGCTTTTGCAAACAGGAAAATGTAGTTAAGTCTTACTTTTTTATTTGGAAGTAAAAAAATGTAACACTGAAATGAGAAAAACAGAATTGAGAAAATAATTTGTACCACATTTCATTTCCATACCTCTACCAGGTAGTCTCAAAGAGAAGCCCAACTCAAGAGCATACCACATCATTTTGGTTAGTAACTATTTATTGGGCATGAGCTGTGTACCAGGTGCTGTTTAAGGTGCCCAGGGTATAAACATGACGAAAGTCCCTATCCCCAAAGTGCCCACAGAGCAAGACATCCATGACAGAAGCCTGAACTTGAGGTTTCAGAATGTTACGGGATGCATGAGTGTGGGGTAAACAGCAGGAAGTCTCACAGGTGACTTCTGCACTTGAGTGTGAGCTTGCCATGTACAGGAGAAAAACTGTTGCTGCCAGAGAACTGGCCCAAGCAAAAGCTCGTGGGCCAAGGGCACGCGGAGTTTGGTACGATAGAAACAAGTGTCCTATGTCTTATTGATTGGACACACGAGTAGCAACATTTCAGGCAAGGAAGGGACACGAGGTTCGTTCTGGCTGCATGATAGAGAATGGACTGGAGAAAGGACACAGTAAGAAAAGGGACCAGATGGAAGGCCATTGCCTCAGTATCCGTGAGGCAGGCAGGGCCCAGAGTGGAGCCCTGGCAGTCGGCAAGAAACAAAAGTTGCGATAAACAATTTGGTCTCGGAGAAAGGCAAGGAAGAGCTCACTTAAACTCAGTAATGAGACTGTTTTGGGGGAAGAGATCATCTAAAACTCTGTCCCAACCTATGGACTGAGTGACTTTGGGTTTGGGAGCAGTAAGTGTGGAGCTGTGTTATTTCAAGCGCTCTGCAGATTTGTATAGTCACTGTGTCAGTTTTCCATCATTGTACAAAAAAATACCTGTGATACAACTTACAAAGAAAAGGCCACTTTGGCTCCCATTTTGGAGGTTTCAGTCCATGGCCTGCCTCTGGCGAGGCAGCACATCACGGTGTGGAGTGTGGGGCAGAGAACTCGTTCACCTTGTAGCCCAGAACGAAAAAAGGAAGAGGAAGGGCCTGAGGTGCCACACTCCCCTTCAAGGGCATAGTCCCAATAACGGGAAGACCTCCCGCAGGCCCCACTGTCAGGAAGTTCCGGTCCCGTGGGTCCCTAAGTGAATTTACCAAGACAAGAAAATAGAAGAAGCAAGAAGTTAGGACCCAGAGAGGCAGCAGGCAGCTGAGCCGACGGCAGGGCTGCTGCGCCCATATGAAGGTTGAGTAAAGTGAAAGCAAAGCAAAAGTGCACCCTCGAGTGGGGCGGACAAGAAGGACACTGTGCTGAGGGTTCTAAGACCTCAAATTTTATTGGGGTCTAAAGAGATGGGGGCAGCCAGTCCTGGAAAACTGGGTTATTTGTCATTAACTCTCAGAAACTGGGCTACCTGTCATGAACTCCTCCAACTTGTTGAGCCAGGAGAGAATTTGACCTTGGGTGGTCAGACTGGTGCTGTTATTCTTTGTGGGCTTGTGTTACAAGCCATTCTGTTGACATCACCAATCTAGGATGTGATTCCTTATCAACATCCAAGTCACAGTTCTCAACCATCCGGTTTCCTAATTCCCTGCTTAGTCCTCATCACCCAGCTCTTAAAGTTTCTACCACCTCTTTATAGTGCCAGCCGGTTACTAATCCCTTAACACGTGGGCCTTTGACAGTGCAGTCACCAAGCATCAGCAATCAGTCCCTGTTTCTCACCTCTAAGTTCTCAGGAATAA